CAAGCCCCGGGTTCCTGCTGCCCGCAGGAGCACCCCGAGGTGGGGAGCCAGCTCAGGTCAGTCAGACCCAATGCCTCTGTCGCCAGAAGCCCTGGACGGAGGCATCCACTTTGGCCTCTCTGACGGTGAGCACACTTCCTCTAGACACTTCTGAGTGACGGCCCAGAAGCAAGTGCTCCTCTCACTGGAGGGCAGCCGGACACTGTCTGTCTTGGTGGGTGTGCTGATTGTGGGCATTCCTGGGTGCTGGGGGCTAGGGCAGAGCTGAGAGGTTCACGCTGCCTCTCTGCAGCCACAGGCCTGGGCCTGGATCACAAAGGCTGATGGCCCCTTTTGCCTCTGGCAGGGTCCGTCCAGCCACTCAGCAGCCAGAGCCTCAGAGCCAGCTCCAGTGCAGGCACCAACCTCCAGCTTCTGCTCTTTGTGGTGCGGGGCCCCCAGCTAGGTCGGCTCTTCCATGCCCAGCATGACAGCACAGGGGAGGACCTGGTGAACTTCACTCAGCCAGAGGTAAGGGCCCCACTCTGCAGCCACCGCTCAGATGCCCCCAGCCTCAGGTGGCCGCTGTGCCATGGACATCATGTGGACATGGGCACCAGCTCCATCATCACTGTCAGCAGACACTGCTGGCCCTACCATGGTCCAGGCCCTGGTGTTCTCCCCTCCAGGAGCTATCTGGCTGGCAGGGCAAGTTCATCTTCCCAGAATGAGAGAGAAGGATGCAGGAAGTTGGGGATACAGGGCCCTAGAGCAGGGCTGGGGTCTTGGGGTGTGGCTTCCAAAAGGAAGCTACAGCTGGACCCGAGGGTCTGGAGAGGGAGCACCATGTAGGGGTACTAGTGGCACCCCAGTAGCTGGTGAGCGGCAGTGCTTGGTGGAGGAGGGAGTTGAAGGTGAAGCAGCTGCTGGGCCTGTGGGCAGAGGTGTGAGCCTGGGATTCAGATCAGGTGCCAGCCAGAGGCAGAGTGGATCCTAGGAGCAGATGAGCTGATGAAAGGCAACTGAGTCGGCCAAGAGGATGAAGCTGCCATTCATCCATCCTGGTGGCTTCAGAGAAGAACTGGAGCTCTCAGCCATAGATAGCAGCAGACTCTCTGTGGTAGCTGTGCCATGGGGGCCAGCCCAGTCATCGTTTAAATGAACACCTCTCCCCAAAGGCAGAACAGGAGTAGTTCCATAGCAAGGCAGAGCAGGGCAGACTCTTTTGTAGGCCGTCCTGGGCCTACAGTTAGCACACCTGGTGCTCCCACCAGGAGACTGTGTGGGCATCTGAACCCAGCACATGATCACAGTGAGTTCTGGATAGGGAGCAGTCTTGTGGGGTGCAGAGCTGACTCTGTCACTCAGAAGCCATGGCATGCGGTAGTGCTCCAAGTACCTCCAGAGGGGTCCCCCTGCCAGCCCTTGAAAATGGCAGAGCCCACCCCTAGCCCCCTTTCTAAGCTCCCTTGCTTGGGCAAGGACCTCCTGGGCCTGGCACTCTCCCTCGTGAGAGGTGCAGATGGCATTCAGCAAGTGCAAAGCTGAGGTTTCTTGGGTCTGTCACATCAGCACCTCTCAGGCCTGGGTTCAGTATTTCCCTGGAGCCTCACTCCTGCTATGGCCCCCTCCCCACAATGAGATATTCATCGGGCTGCTGTCTACAGCTGCTGCTTAGCAGTTGTTGGGAGCCTTTGTCAGGAATGCCCAGGTATGAGGAAGGGACGGGACCAGGCCATCAGCAACCGTCTCGCACTCTATAGTCTCATGTTACTCAGAGCTTCCCCGTTTTCCAGCAATATGAAGGACCAGATTGAATGGGCACCAGGGGGCCAGGCTGGCAGTGTCACCCAGGAAAGCCTGGAAGAGGCTTACATGGGCTACCTGGCCCACTCGGGGAGGAGGCCAGGACTGAGTCTTGTTTTAACAGCAGCCCTGTGCCACAACACTGAACTGGGCAGGAAAGGGTCAGGTGTCCCCACTTTTCAGATAAGGAAACTGAAGCTCATGGAGGGCAGGTAACTGTATTCAGAGCACATGGCCGGTAAGAGGCACAACTTCTGCCTGCCAGTCCAGGATTTCCTTCACCAGAGGACACTGCTTGCTCCCCAGAGCTCAGGACCCTGTGTTTTGTTTCACTCCCACCCACAGAGCTCCCGTATCCAGGCATCAGCTCCAACTCCCACTCCTGGAGGCGGAGGTGGGAGGATCACTTGAGCCCAGGAGTTCAAGACCAGCCTTGGCAACATAGTGAGAACTTGTCTCTACACAAAAATTTTAAAAATAGCTGGGCTTGATGGTGGCACGTGACTGTAGTCCGAGCTACTTGTGAGGCTGACATTGGAGGATCACTTTGAGCCCAGGAGGTTGAGGCTGCAGTGAGCAGTGATCACTGTACTCCAGCCTGGTGACAGAGCGAGACCCTATCACCACCCCCACCCCGGCCAAACAAAACAACAACTGAAAAGACAAGTTTCCTATTGGCGTGATAGGTCCTGAGTCCCGTCGCAGATCAGTCACATGGGACAGGTGTCTTTTCCTCTGGACCTTGGTGTTGCCATCTGAGTGAGAAAAGGCAGTGGGGAGGTGGATCTTCCAGTTGAAGCGGTGTAAAGCCGGTGTGAAAAGTCATACTACAAGGGGCTCCAAGTCCAGCGCACCGTCCCAACAGGGCCCAGCACGGCAGCCAGTGCGGCACAGGCATCAGGTCCCGACCTTCTTCCCCGATTGCCCACTCTCAGACCACGGAGTTCATCATCTTGGAGCTGCTGGCCAGTCTGTACTCATGTGGGGACCAGAACACACTGGTGGAGCAGTTGGCAGAAGAGGCACAGCGGCGCGACGAGATGCTGCGCATACACCACATGCTGAAGGAGGTACTCACCATCATCGGGGACATCAACAAGACCACCGTCAGCCTGCCCCTAAGCCTGCATGTGGACGACTCATGGCTGCAGGTGCAGAGCGTCCCGGACGAACGCAGATACCGGGGCTGGCCCCCACGGCCCCAAAGTCCCCCAGCCTGGGCCTCCGAGAGGAGTGCCGAGGGGGCAGTGGCGTGGTCCCTCACCAGGGTGGCTGCTACCTGGAGTGGGGGCGGAGCTTGCCGAGGAGCAGTGGCTGCGGGGCGGGGTGGAGCTGGGCTGTTGGTGCTGCTGGGGCGGGGCTTAAACTCTGGCGACCACATTGGGGCCTGGCAGGGAGGAGCTTCCGTGCATGGTCGTGGCCAGCACTGGGCTGGGACGGGGCCTCAGGGGGCGGGGTGGAGCCGCCCATTTCTCCTGTCCCTGTGCCTTGATACCTGTCGCCTTGCAGGTCGCCCAAGTCCAGCCCTGGGACGCCCAGCCCCCGCCACGTCCCCAGCCCAGCCTGGGTTGCGGGCCGGCTTCTGGGCTTCCTCCTGCTGGGTCCGCCCTTGGGGAAGTGCCACCCCGTATCCTCCAGACCAGAGGCTTCCCCTGATCCCTTCGGCCCTACTCGCCAGGTGCTCTCATGCCCCACTCGGGATCACCAAGTAAGTAGGGGCTGAAAGCAGCCAAAGAGGCCGCTGGACGGGTGTGGCCGGGAAGGAAATGGGACTGGATTCCAGAGCATCCGACCTGGCCGCAAGAACTGGCCGTCTCCATCCAAGAAACTGGGACCATGGCTGCCAGAGTCATGTGTGGCCGAGGGCTGGCGGAGCCTGTCCCCCAGGGAGGGCTGAGTCCTGGAGGTAGTCGTTTTTGAGGAGAGGGCTATGGGGCTCGTCCCACCTGCCCCCTTCTTTCCAGCACTTAGGTGGCACTTCCCTCTATTTTCACTCTTGGTGGCCGCCCACACGTTGCATCCCTCATCCTTTCTTCTCGCCGTCCTCCATTCTCCATTCTGTCTAACTCCTCTCTGCGAAACTTAGCTCAGGTCTGAGAGTCTGAGATGCTCTGGGTGTGTGGATTTCTTTTTGCTACCCTGATGTCCCCACATCCAAGTCCTGACTCCTTTGAGCCATCCCTGGGGGTATCGGGCCACTTGACCATGGGAGCAGAGGCCAGGCTGTGACTCTGTGACCAACAAGATGTGTGATGTGTGTACAGGTGAGCACACGAGTGTGAGAGTGTAAGAGTGGCACCCAGGCCTAAGCTAGGACAGAAGCAACTGGGGAAGGAGCCCGGGGGCCACAAGCAGTCTGATTTTTTCTCCACATCCCCACCCCCTGACCCTGTCTAAACTAATGTGGTAGTGGCAGCTGCAGGGGCAGGGATAAGAGTGACTGAAGCCTACTTCACTCCCAAAGATTTCTAAGGAAGAGCATTCTACTGCAACCTTTGGCTTGGCCTTGTTGACCTATGACCCTCTTTCAACGACATTCACTTTGATTTCCAGTGTGCCCTGTTTCCACTGGCCACGTTCTCTAAGGAAGAACAATAGCATCTGTTTTTGTGTCCAAATGGCTGGAGAGTGGGGCTGTGGGTCCAGTGCCCATATACAGAAACGAAGTAGGGATTGGGGCTTGCCCTATGACGTGCTGATGACCAAGTTACATGGGTAAAGGCAAGCAGCAGAGTATTGGGCAAGAGCGCTGGACTGGGAGTCCAGAGATGCTTCTTCACCCTGGGGCTTTAGGCAAGTCCCTTTCCCTCCCAGAGCCTCAGTATACCTTCTATCAAATGATGTTGCCGCCTGGGAAAGGCTGTCCCCATCCCGCCCTGTCCCTCTCACCCCTCATCCTTCATCCCCTCATCCCCACGCGCTCCGTGCGCACCCATTTCGGCTGCTCCAACAAGCCCGGAGCATGTGCGCACTTCCGGCTGCCCCCTCCTCGCCTTGACCCAGCACTGCTGGACCCATGTGGTCCGTTCCTCACACTCACGGACTGGAGGCTCTGGGCAGCACAACCAGAAACTCCGGTGTGTGTTAAGGGGGGGCAGGGCACAAAACCACCAAGTAACAGAGTGTGTGTGTGTGTGTGTGTGTGTGTGTGTGTTTTTTTTTTTTTTTTTTTTTTTTTTTTTTTTTTTTTTTTTTTTGTGGTGGTGGTGGTGTGTGTGTGTGTGTGTGTGTGTGTGTGTGTGTGTGTGTGTGTGTGTCTCCCAAGGGAACAGCAGTGCTGAGTTCAGCTTGAGTATTAACTCATGGACTGTCAGCAAAATACAGTCACCAAAAGACTATGGGCTGTTTTGTCTTTTGCAGTGACATCATGTTGCTCACCTTTTATGTTTTTCAGAGTTCATTAGTTTCTGTTTGTTCTCAGTTAATATCCAGCTCAATAGATTGTGTAAGTAGAATACTCCCAAACTGAAAGTCACCTACGTAAAATATAGTGAAAAATATGTCACCCACTTAAAGTATAGTTGAAAACATGTACTCGTTAGTTTTGTGTAGCCAACACTGGATACTGGGTAAGGGCACAGGATCCCAGGGCTAGACTTCGTGGGTTCAAGTTCCGATTTAGCCACTTGGTGGCTTTGAAATGCTTGACAACTTTAAGCCTCAATTTGTTAATTTTTTTTTAACTTAATCCCAAATGTGATAGTAAGTCTCAGTTTCTTGATCTGAAAAACAGAAATTATTCAAGAGAGTCTATGTGAAAACTTTATAGTTTTTACAGCCACTATCTGGCTCAGGAAAGTCCTCAGCTTTAGGGGTTAAAGTTTTAAAGGCCACTTTAAAGTTTTTAAAGCCACTACCTGGCCCAGGAAAGCCCTCAGCTTTAGCCATTATTAGCACATTATTGTTGTGCTGGCTACACATGCATTAATGAGGCAGGAAAATGCTTAAGGATAACAACCCAGATTATCTCATCAGACCAAGACAGATGCGTATGCGTGCATGCTCATGTTTTAGCTCAGAACCACTTGTCTAAAAGCCTCTTGAACTCAGAGGCCCAGGCAGTATCAACTTTGCTTTGTAGTGGAGCCATCAGTTTTGTTAATCAGTGAAATTGACATAAAGCTCTTTTTTTCTTTTAAGCACCAACCATGTGCCTAGAGCTAACTGTGTCAAGAAGAGCATGCTTCAGGTGGCTGCAGCGAGCAGTTCAACCTGTGGAGGAATGAGAATTATAATGTTGAGACAAGAAACACAAAACCCAGGGTAAGGTAGGAATCACTGAAAGTCAGGCAAAGGAACTGGCATCCAATGATGAGTCAGGCTTTGCCAGCCTCTGGCCCTACAGATGGCTCTTTGGAGAGGAAAAAATTAAGTCAGACCCGAGGGCACAGATCCTAAGGGAATGCCGGCAGCTCTGGGCTGTCTGTGAGAGTCCAGATTTGCTGCTTCATCCTGGGGCTTTAGGCAAGTCCCTTTTCCTCCCAGAGCTCCAGTATCCCTTCTATCAAATGATGATGTTCTGCCTTTCTCCTAGGATGGCTGTGGAGATCCAGGGAGGCAGTGGCCATAGGGATGCTATGTTAACTGCAGATGCAGCCATAGGAGCACTTTGCTAACTGCCAACGTGAGTTCAGACTCTTCAGGCTATTTGGCACCCAGGTCTGTGGTGAGGTGTGACATGTGGGATGTAAGGTTTGATGCCTGCTCCGACTCCAGTCTTGCTAACACCCGCTAAGCATTTGACAAATCATGACCTTACCTTGGGGAAAAGGGCAGTCTGGGAGAGCTTCTTCAAGGCAGGCTGGCTTCAATGCAGTCCGGGGCATGACTGAGATAGGCTTATGTGGTGAGGAATTGGAGGATAACTGGGTAAAAAGCTGCCATGGGCGGAGGTGTAGTGTGGGTCACATCGAGGATAGCCCCTGGCCAAAGCAGGCAACACAGACAGAATGAGGAAGAGCTCCGTGGGGAAGGTGGAGCATAGGGTGGAGAACCTTCAAAGTCTGAAGAGTGTGACTTGTTGGGGTTCAATGCTGTAGGCAGTAGGGAGCCATGGAAGGCTCTTAGGTGGAGAAATGACAGCTGGACATTGGTGAGCAAGCCCTGTCTCCATGAGCAGCGTGGGTGGTCCTCTGAGCACACCAGGCACGAGTGTGCAGGGAGCTGGTGCAAATGCCTCTGTGTGCGGGCGAGCATCTGTGTTGTGACCCTGCCCACGCATGTGCTTCAGTGTGCCGAGTGGCTGCATGTCCCAGATCCTTGTGGCACATGCTGGCCAATGAGGGTGCTGGGCGGGGAAGGCAGCGTATGCGTGTTTTTTGTGGGCATGTGTGTTAGTGTGTGCATGCAGGCAGTGGGGCCTCACAGCATGTGTGTGCACACTCCGGCGTGTGCGTGTGTGTCCCCCACCCTCAGGCTGCCCCACCATGCGTGTGACCTGCCATGTGATTTGATGCTGTCTTTCAGAATCACTATCGGTGTTCCCTGAGGAGCGTCAGCCTTGGTAGGTACATGCTTTGCTGCCTGCTGCATGAAAGGTCTGCCTGCCCCGCTGCCCCAGCCCCACATGGGGGGCCTACCTGGGACTTCAGAGCCAGGCTCCCTGCCCCTCCCTTCTGGAGCTGCAGACTTGCTCTTTGCTCTTTCTGTCTTTGTGCTGCTGGCTGTCTCACTTCTCTCCCTGCGAGCCATGGGACTCAGTGTCACTGCTCCAGGTCTCCATGGCTGAGCCTGGGGGCTCTTAGAACAGGCTCCATGCCCAAGCTGGCAGATGTGGAGCCATCAGAGAGGACACAGAGCTTGTGGTTTATGGTGTAGGGGCTGGGAGCTTGGAGGGGGTTGTGTGTGGGGCTGGAATCTGAGGCGGTCAGAGGTCTAGGCACATCATCCTGGGCACGCTGTACCTGTCATGCAGTCTGGGTCATGCTGCCAGGGCAGGTATCCAGCTCCCAGGCTGGGAGTGCTGAGAGCCAAATCCACTGCAGATTAAGGATGATAGTTAGGGTCCCACATCCTCCAACTGTCAGCAGTCCAGTGGTGATCGAGGATAAAAGCCTGAGAGTCCCATACACACGGTCATCCCACAACACACTTCACAGACCGGGCAAGGACACACAGCCCCGTTCCCTCCCTCCCAGGTACCATCATAGCTGCTCGTGTGGACTGAAGACAGGGTCCCTGGCCCCCGCTGAAGCACTACCGCTGACCAGCAGGCTCACTCACCTTGGCCTGTTGCTCCTAGGGGTCTCCTGTGCTATTCATCCAAGGAGACCACAGTGCCTCCTGGCCCAGCCAAATCCTGCCTAGCGAGCCCACCTGCCTGTCCTGCCACGGACTCTCCCTCTTCTGCTTTTCCCATCATAAAGGGCCCAGCGTCACCTATGCAACCTGTAGCCCCCTGCCTACCAGTTGAGGCTCCCCTTTTGGACTTATAACTGTATGGCTGGTGGCATCCAGCTACCTGCCCTCCCAGCCTTCCCCAGGGTCCTTCAGAGGACCCTGAGCTTTCTGCCCACCCAGAGGGACCTCTGGTGCTCACTCCAGCCAGCCATCCCCTTATAGCTTCACTATTTTGTTTCAAGCAGTGTTCCTTCTCTATGAGGAGTGGTGGCTGTTGGGTGGGGCTCCCCAAGCAAGAGGTGGCCCTGGGCCAGTGGGTTGGAAGACGGTGACCAGGGAAGAGGGAAGTCCTGGGGGCTGGCATTGGTCTGAACTGTGGGTGGACTGCCTGGGTGCCATGAGAGAGGTCAGCGTGGGTGGGGTGGGGAGGGCCGCCGCAGCCCCCGGGCACTTCCTATGAAGCTCTGGCTTCTCCCTCCATCTTCCTCCCCTTTCCCTTCCAGCCTCTCTTTTCCAGGAACCTTGCCATGCCCACACTTACACTCTCCCCTTCCCGGCCCTCTCGCAGCTGCTACGGTGCACCCATGCTCTGCACTTGCCTCACCAGCTCTGGCTTTTCTCTAACCTGTTTTCTCTCTGCGCTCTCTCCAATGCCAGCTGATTGGGTCAGGCAAGTCCATCCCGTCCTGAGAGCCCCAGGTCCCCCTTCGACCTCTGAACAGATCCCTCCTCTTCTCAGAGATTTCCCTTTCCAAGGCTGCCTGGGCGGGTGTCCTGTGACTTGACAGTGGCTCCCGAAGCCCCAGAGCCAGCCCCCTTCATCTGTGACTTAGTCTGTTGTAGTGGTGAGCTGCCACATCCAGCTGTGACCGTTGCTGAAAACTTGTGCCCCCTCTGTGGTATGCCCCTGCCCTGTTCTATAAATAGCTATAAATACACACACACACACACACACACACACACACGTGGCCGACTGCCTCACCTCTAGCACTGGGAATCAGTCCTCGTGCTGTCCTTGCGGAGACTTGTGGCCCAACAAGAGGAAGCTGTCTCCTGACATTGCCCCTCGAAAGGGCACCACCTCCAGGGAGCCTCCCTGTCATGCCCGGCCTGTGGACAACCAGTCCCCGCCATCCTTCCTGCCCTTCTGGGCAAGCATGGGGGTGCTGTGTGGACTGACAGTCTTCCAGTCCTGCTGTCCCTCGGCTGAGACTCCAACTCATTTCTGGATGACAGAGAATGTGTCCTCTGCTGGCTCTGTTCTCTGTGGAGCTCAGGGGAGGGAAAAGTCCAAGCCATTTTTAGGATGCTTTTGGGAGCGGTGAAAAGGTCACACCCCTTCCAAGGGACACTTTTCCTGGAAAGTCCCTGGAGCTTAGCTGGTTCTTATCCTGTGACGCTGGATCTGGTCACTAGGGGGCAGGGCCGTGAACTCAGCCTGGAGGGAGCCTGCGGGGCAGCCTGCACTCTGGAGGGACAGACAGGCCACCCGGTGCAGACAGGAGAGGGAGGCAGGGGGACGGAATGGAAGACACCTGGGGTGGGTGAAAGTCAGTGCCCTCGGGTGCTGGTGTTGTCTTCCCAGCCACAGCTAGATCAGTCTTTTGAACCTGTTGGCCGTCAGGGCTGCACTGTGCCCATTAGGCACCATGGCAGTCCCCGTGAAATCCACCAGGTGTCACCAGGCAGCATCCAGACAACAGGCCTGGAAGATTCCCAACAGCCCAACTGGGCATGCTCAGACCCTCTGGGGCTCCTCTTTCAATGGGACAAACTGCAGGACCCACTGAGGGAAACGGGAACATACCAGGCTGAACAGTATAGCTAAATCCATTTATTCCCAAATAAAAAGCAAAGAAAACAGGAGTCCCATCACCAGGGAGCCATGACTCCATCCCCGCCTCCTTCCTCGCTCCTATGCTAGCAATAAATAAGTTTCCCAGCTGCAAATAACTATCAGAACCTCTTCTTCATACACCAGCTGCAACCTCCGCTAGGTACGATACATACAGAATGTTAGATGCAGAATGTACATGGGGCTTCGAAGGGCGGGTCACCCCTAGCAGCCCGTGCCCTTGCCTGGTCTACAGTTAGCTCCACTGTCCCGCCTCAGATGCCTCTCTGAGTAAGATGATGGGAGCACCCCGTGAGAAAAGTTGCCTCGGTGAGAGTAAGGAGGCCATCGCACCTCCTCCAAACAAACCAACTCCATCAACCTCTGGCTGTTAAATAACAAACATCATCATCCAGAAATGTAAGGACTCAGCCTTGGTCAAGGTGGTAAAGGGTCTGTTTTTCTCTCTTCATTAGACAGGGGTCTTGTGTTGCTACCTAATGGTAAAAAGTGACTGGGAAGGCGTTGTAGGGACATGGTGGGGGTGAAGACTCCAGACCCACTTCTCCAGGCTTATGCTGACAGGGGCCTGCTTTTATTTATTTTTATCCCATGACTTTTTCCCGTAACTTCTTCCTCATAACTTTTTAAAAAAACTTTTCAGGCAACTTTTTTTTTTACTTTTTTTGGACTTTTTGCCACAATTTTTCCACCATATTTTTTATCCCATAACTTTTCCATCCCACAACTTTTAATTCCTGTAACTTTTTTAGTTTATGTTCTTTTAATAAACACACTTACATAGTTACAATTTTGTGAGAATAAAAACCGATTATCTCATGACAAGCGTGCCCAACATTTGCACAGTCTCAATACCTTTAATACTATAGTTTTCAAGACACACAAAAATTTAAGGCAAAAACAGCACCTTGCAACAATTTCATAATTTATTACATTATAGTAGCATCACAGAAGTCAATAATGCCACTTTAGACAAAAGTCAGTATTTCCATTATACATTCTGTTTACAAGAAATCGTAAGTTGGTAAAAGTCATTCTAAGAAAACTTGGCAAATAAAGCTTTGGACTGGAATTGGCATTTCTGTCTCTACTTTTCCTTCCCCTAGATTCTTGGTTTTACACTACAGTGTTCATATTTTAAAATGTTTTAACTTATTTCAAGATATTATAGCAGTTATGTTTTTGAATAGTTATTTGAAAGTGACTGTAAGATAAAGTTTTAGAGAAAGTATTATGGATAGGGCTGATTTACATTTTCATGTTGTATAAAACTCAGCTTTGGTTTTAGAACTGATTTTTTTCATTTCAGGGAAACCTATCAGGTTTAATCAAATAGTTTAAAAATAATTATGATATATTGCAGTCTTTAAATTGATATTTTGATTCTTCCTACAGAAATTCACATTTATTCAGTTTGAACTCACATTTTAAAATTCTGTTTCTGCTGAACTCTAACCTTCTAATGTCGCCTTCTAAGCAAATTGAAAGCTGCCTTATACTGAATGAGGAAGAGAACAAATACTTGGCTGAATGAGGTATTGCAAACATCTGCGTGCATTTTGAAGAAAGACTACAGTTATTGTCATAGAATTTCCATTCTTTTTAGCTTTTTCTTAAACATATGACAAAATTCCTACACAAAGAGTGGTATTTCAGTTAATATAGCACTTTTATTTTTCAGACTGACATTCAGCTTAAATATGCCGGTATGTGATTTAATCCAGAGGTCCCTGATGAACACATTATTGTCAGATAGGTTACAGATGCTAAACACTATCTGAAGGTCATTCCTAGTCATTTATATGTGTCAGGTAAAAGTGAAGTGATTTGAACTGTCAAAATACAGAGTGAACATGAGGGAAAGACCCACTCTCCTTTAACTTTCTACAAATAAATTTAAGTTAGAAACACAAATAAACATGAGTGGCTCTAACATTCAAATGAAGTAAATGAATTGTGTAGGAGATTAACCCCTAAACTTTTTTCGTTTGTTTTTAAATTTCTTGACCAGCTCTTAGATGATGGTGATGTTTATCTCCCTGATCTCGGCACGGTGAAAAGAATGGCATGCAGGGGTTGCTGCCCAAGCCTCGGTGCTCCTGGAGAGTCCTGCGTTAGAGGAAGCAGCTGCACGATCTGCTGTGCCGTGGGGTTGTGGTGGGGAGAACCCTCCCTGGCCTCTCCTGGTGCAGGCTCCACGCTGTCAGTGAGGCTCAGCCACGAAGATCTTCAGACAGAGGGAGGAGGGGATCTGAGGTCAGTGCGAGCCTCCCCTGCTCCTGCCCGCCCACCCCGCCTGAGCGCTCTACCCACCACCCTGCTTGTCAGCACGCCCAAGCTCCTGGGGGATTCGGGCTCCTAGAGCGGGCTGATCAGCAGGGCTCTGGGCAGTGGTCAGGAATTTGTTGTGCCTGTCATTGTGGTCGCCCACAAGCCACAACACCTGTCCCTGCAGCTCCAGCAGGTTCACCTGGAGGGAGGGGTGCTTAGCTGTCATGCTAGTGCTGGCGCCCAAGTTCACCCCCACCCCTACCCCCGCAGAGATGGCCCCATGCAGGGCTCTGTGGGTCTCCCCACACACAGACTCACCCCCAGTCCCTGGGGTCCTCTGAAATGAAGCCACTGGGTGAGCCAAGTGCTGGCAGCACACCCTTTGCTATTCCTGGGCATTGGCTCCAGCGTCGTTGAAAAATGCCACCTGAAGGCAAGAGATGAGTATTCTTGTAGGGACATACACAGAACAACCGGGGCAGGGAGGTGGAGCACAGCCCCTTCCCTTGGGGCTCAGAGTGAGCACCTGTTGGTCACAGTGAAATGGTGTTTGACCACTGGCTCCCGTAAGGAGTGAAAGTCCACAGAAATCAGAAGGCAGGGAAACCAAGAACATAAGGGGATCTGGCAGGGACCAGCGACGAAGGTGACAAAGTAGGGGCAGGGAAAGTCAGGCTCACCTGACCTCCCGGCTCTCCCGGTCCTCAGGGATGTCCTGCATGGGCTGAGGTGCCTCCTCCTCCTCACTGTCCAGATGTCCTCCTCCATCTCCTCTAGGGGGTGGCCAGAGGGGTCCTCAGACAACCCAACAAGGGAAGTGGGGGTCCACCTCTGCCCCCACCCTCACTGTGTAGCCCTGAGCCAGCCCATTCCCAGAGGGGAATGAGCTATTCTGTATTATTACTTTTAAGAACCAAGATCTTGCTATACTGCCCAGGCACAGTCCCACTACCGATTGGTGCCGGAGTCCTGACCTGCTCCCTTTCTGACCTAGGCCAGTTCTCCCGTCTTTAGGCAACCTGATGGCCTCCTGCTCCCAGGAGGTCACCATATTGATACCGAACTTAGCGTGGACACCCGGTCGGCATAATGACCAGCTGTGTTAAAGGTGTCTTCCAACTCCTCAATCCTATGCTGCTAACAGTCCCCCTTTCCTCCTGGGGCTCTCGCCTCTTCCTCCGCGTGGTCTCCCGTACCTTCCCCAGGGAGAACCATGAGGCTCAACCTGGCTTTAGCTGCTGTTTCTGCTGGCTGGTAGCTTCCAGGTGCTCCTAAGAGGCCAGGAAAGAGGGTGAGAAGGCACGGAGGTTGCCAGCTTGTCCCTCTCGTGGCCCTGTCCTCAGCAACTCCCTCCCCGGGGTCTCCTGCAACTTTTGGCGGGCCATCTTAGCTACCACTTTGCCTTGAGCTTCCTGCTGCTGCAGCTGGTCCAGGAGCTGGGTCTGCAGCAGTAACTGCCTGTGCAGCACCTCTTCCTCAGAGGTCAGCTGCTGCTAAGCGACCACATACTGCTGCAGGTGACACAGGTACTGGTCTCCCTGCTGCTGCAGACTCTGAGCCTCTTGGCTCTTCAGCTCCACCTGCAGGATGATCCTGGGCATGAGGGCGTTTACTAGCTGGCTTCCAGATTCCTGGCCCATTAATAGGGTAGCAAGGGCACTGTGGTGCTCTGTGGCCTGCCCAGGCCCCTGGTCCCTTGCTCCAGGCCTCAGAGCCTGCCTCCCTTGCCTGGAACCCAATGCATCCTTCCCCAGCGTCAAATCTCACACGCTTTTCCCTGTCTAAAATTTAAACTGTAGACCACAGACTAGTGGAAAACGGGGGGAGCCAACCAGCATCTGCTAAGTGTACTACATGCCTAATGTTTCCACGTATTATCTCATTTAATCCTCAGCACCTCTGCAAGGAAAACGCTAACTTCCTTTTGAAGTTAAAGAAACAGAGACTTTGTCGGGCGCGGTGGCTCAAGCCTGTAATCCCAGCACTTTGGGAGGCCGAGATGGGCGGATCACAAGGTCAGGAGATCGAGACCATCCTGGCTAATACGGTGAAACCCCGTCTCTACTGAAAAATACAAAAAACTAGCCGGGCGAGTTGGCGGGCGCCTGTAGTCCCAGCTACTCGGGAGGCTGAGGTAGGAGAATGGCGTGAACCCGGGAGGCGGAGCTTGCAGTGAGCTGAGATCCAGCCACTGCACTCCAGTCTGGGTGACAGAGCGAGACTGCGTCTCAAAAAAAAAAAAAAGAAAAACTTAGAAATGCAAAGTAGTTGAATGATAACCAGTAGAACTGAGTCCGGAAACCAGTTTGAGTCTAAGGAGTCTTTTTGGTTTTAGCGTTTTGTTTTGTTTTGTTTTGAGACAGTGTCACTCTGTGTCCCAGGCTGGAGTCCGGTGGTGCGATCTCAGCTCACTGCAACCTCTACCTCCCAGGCTCAAATGATTCTCATATCTCAGCCTCCTGAGTAGCTGGGATGACAGGCATGCACCACCAGGCCTAGGTAATTGGTTTTATTTTGAAATTTTAGTAGAGATGAGGTTTTGCCATGTCAACCAGGCTGGTCTCAAACTCCTGACCTCAAGTGATTCTCCTGCCTCAGCCTCCCAAAGTGGTGGGACTACAGGCGTCAGCCACCACACCCAACATAAGGAGCCTGTTATACCACTGTCTCTTCCCCTGTGACTGGGGGGCTCCATGGCTCTAGCTGGGATGATGATATCCAGACCTGGGGGGAGCCCAGGGCTCCCCACCTCTAAAAGTCAGAGGGAAAGATGCAAGAAACAGCAATAGCACTGCCCTGGAGAGTGCTGGGGTCACCTGCCCCCAGGTTGCAGCTGCCTCTGGCCTGGCGCCTCCCTTCCCCAGAGGCTGGTGCCCGCCTCCCAGCCCTTCTTGGATGGGTCAGAGGTTACCGTGTCTTTCAGCTCGCCCAGCGTCTTCAGCTCCTTTACTTGAGGCTCCAACTGCAGTGCGCTCTTGTTCTCATTGTTCTGGACAGAGAGAAGCAATCATTGGCCACCCGCTATAGCTGGAGACCCCAGAACTTGGTGTCTGCCTGCCATGGCACCGGGAAGGGTGGAGGCAGGTTAGAAAAATCATCCCCTCTCTCCCACAGCCATCAGAGCAGGGCTCTGGCTCACAGGTGCCTTTAGAAGTACCATTTCATGTGAGGGCTACAATGCCCCATTTTACAGGTGGGGAAACAAAGGCCTGGAGGGCTAGGGAAGAGGGCAGGCTCCCCAGGTGGGGCAACCCACCGGCTCCTCGAAGCTACTGTGTGGCTCCGCCTGCTGCTCGTAGAGGGCTTCTCACCCCAGCTCCAGCATCCTCTCCAGCTCCAGCATCCTCTCCAGCTCCCGCAGCCTCTCCAGCTCCCGCAGTGTCTCCTGCTCCCACAGCCTCTGATCCTGCTCCCGCAGCCTCTCCTGTTCCAGCAGCTCCTCCACTTGGTCCAGCAGCTGCTCCTCCTCCAGCAGCCTCTTCTGCTCCTCCTGTTGCCTGTCCCGTTCCAAAAGCTTCTCCACCTGCTCCAGCAGCCTCTCATCCTGCTCCCGCAGTCTCTCATCCTGCTCCCGCAACCTCTCCTGTTCCAACAGTTCCTCCACCTGCTCCAGCAGCCTCCCCTGGTCCAGCAGCCTCTCCTGTTCCTCCTGCCACCTCTCCTGTTCCAATAGCTTCTCCACCTGCTCCAACAGCCTCTCCTGCTCTGGAAGCCTCTCCTCCTCCCGCAGCCTCTCATCCTGCTCCCGCAGCCTCTCCTCTTCCAGCAGCTTCTCTACCTGGTTCAGCAGCCTCTCATGCTCTAGCAGCTTCTCCTCCTCCTCCTCCCGTCTCTCCTGTTCCAACAGCTTTTTCACCTCCTCCAGCAGCCTCTCCTGCTCTGGCAGCCACTCCTGCTCCCGTATCCTCTCATCCTGCTCATGTATCCTCTTCTCCTGCTCATGTATCCTCTCCTCCTCCTCTCCCTGTCATGCTCTCCTCCTGCTCACGTATCCCCCTGCTCACTATCCTCCTCCTGTTCACGTATCCTCTCCTCCTGCCCAGATAGCCTCTCCTCCTGCTCATGTATCCTCTCCTCCTGCTCACGTATCCTCTCCTCCTGCTCACGTATCCTCTCCTCCTGTCTCCTGTTCAGGAGACTCAACATCTGATTGTTTTCCACCTCGGCCTGGAGCTGTCTTCCCGGACTCTCCAGCTCCTTCCTTAGGTGTTTGGTCTCATCTTGTAGCTGCTCCACCTCAGAGGGCCCTCCTGGGGAATCTGGGGCCTGGGGTTCAGCTGAGAAAGGAAGCAGACAATAAGGGTCTCTGGATTCTCAAAAAAAAAAAAAAAAAAAAAAAAAAAAAATCCTCCCATTGGTGCAGAGCTCCTCCTCTCAGGCTTCCCAAACTTGGCCTCACTGCTAAGGATTCCTCGCACCCAGATGGTAGCTAATCTTCCAAGCCACTTTCAATGGAGAGCACTGTGGGTGGCTGACAATGGGCACTCCTCCCTCTTTGCTGATGGGGACACCAAGGCTCAAGCAGATGACAAGGCTTGCAGTCTCCTGGCACAGACCTCTCTCCCTCTGCCTCAAAGCCCTTCATCCACCCACCTCCCTGGGGCATTCTAAGCCACCCCCACAGCCCTCTGATGCTGGTCCTGCTCCCAGGTCACGCCAGCCCCATCTTACTCCTCTGGTGTTTGAGTTTGAACAAGCTCCTCCCAAGCTTCTGTACCCGATGTATCTCACGCTTCTTCTCCTCCTTCAATGTGGGAACCTGCCCAAAGCACAGGGCGAAAGGGCCTTGGTGATAGGGGCTGAACCTCTAGAGACAGAGTTTGAGGAAGGCCCCCCCGTCCTGCCAGCTTGTGATTTAGAAAGGTGCGTTCATTCAACAAACATGTGCTGAGCACCTACAGGCCAGGTGTGGTTCTTCACAGCGGAGACAGAAGACAGAAAAGGACAGACAGGAGCCCTTGGCCCTGAGGTTTCCATTCTAGGGGCTTTTAAATCTCGGACTCCCAGAGCGAACGGAGACCTTTGACACTCTCTACCTCCTCCAGAAACACGAGCCCAAGGAGGAGAGAAGGCTTGTCCAGACTCAAAAAGCAAATTAGGGACTGAGTCAGGGCAGAAATATGGGCCCCTGACAAACAGCCAGGCTAGTGCTTCCCTGAGAGGCAACAACCCCAGGGCATGTGTGGCAAAGAGTCGAGCAGGGGTGTCTGGAGAAGAGAGAGCCAGCAAAGAGGGCAGTGCAGAAGAGCCATGCTGCACGGTCTGTGCTCTGGGGTCCATCCAGGTGAGGCCTGGGTGCCCCAGCTCCCCATTTACCCTTGGCACCAGGGGCCCCTAGACCCTTTCTTCAGGGCCTCAAGGGGAAACGAGTCCAGGTTTGGCAGCGTGGAATCAGAGGACGCCACTGGACTCTTCCCAGTGAATGGATGTTTTCACTGGGTTGACTGATTATTGCGGAGCTTTGAGTCCGGGGTTCCTGCTAGTTCTTGGTACTGGCTCTGAGGTGCATGAAGGGAGGAGGGGTTGGAGGATTGCGGGGAGGGGTAGAGAGAACAATCATTAGAGCTGGGGAGGGGTGTGTCTCGGCTGTCTCAGCTGGCAGAGGGGCAACCAGCCCTGCTGTGGGAGGAGGTTGGAGGGCTGGCCTGCAGGGTCACTGAATCTCGGCCCAGGGCCTCTTACCTGCAGATCTTTCAGGTTAGTAGATGACACAGGGCCCTCCCCGTAGACACCTGTTGCTGACTACAAGAGATGAGAGTGCACATGGAGATGTTCTGTCCCCCTCAGTGTCTAAGCCCTCTGACTTCCTTTCTTCCCCATCAACTGACAAACATTTCTTTTCTGCCTATCTTGGACCAGTTGTCCCATAACTCCTTTGTGCCAACTTCTCTCATGGTTTTTATCTCCCCACCATCCCACCCTGGGGCACTTTCAGTGACTCCTAAAGGGACAGCCTGATGGCAAGTAACTCTTCTTATTGGCCTGGCTTCCCCTTGAGACTGGGAATGAGAAAAATCAAACAGCAATGACCATTTCGTGGGTGTCCTGGGTGTTTACAGCAGGCCATGTACTAAGGAGTCTCAGAAAAACAACAATAACAAATCTCATTTAAACTTCACAAATAGATGTTTAAAAATCTCACCTCTATTATATAGATTTGAAAAGAGAGACCTGAAGACCTCAAGCAGCTTGCCCTAAATCATATCTTAATTAATCCCTAATCAATCATTAGCGGATGGAGAGGCAGGATTCAAACCCAGAATTCTTAACTAGTACCCAACAGTCCATCCACAATCTTAACAATTATCCTCTACTGCCCCTTGGGTCCCCTGTCCCCAGGAGCCTGGCCAGCCAAGACTCACATCCCCAGGTGAGCGGTAACCACCAGAAGCGGCGGTGTCAGGGCTACTGCCATTGATTTTCTTTTTCCTGTTAGCTCCTGCTGGAACGCCAGGGCTCTTCCTCTGCCAATATTCTTTCAACTGTGGGAAAGAGGAGCAGTGACACTCATGAGAACTATCAGCCCCTACAGCCACACCCTCCTTCACAGTTTTGACCAAATACTCTTCTACACCATCTGATTTAATGCCACCACCAACTGTACAAGGTGTTGTCACAATCCTTCAGTGACTGAGAGGGATTGATATCATGGCTAGAAAAAAAACAAAAAAACAAAAGAAATAGTTAATACTGGAACTTAAGCTCCGTCTTCTGACTCCAAGCTCTGGGGTTTTGCCATGAATCAGCAGCTGCCAGGGACCAAAACCAGGGGCGGAGTTAGAACAGTAAACATGAAGGAGGCAGGAACTGTATGCCGTGTGGTTTGGAGTCATACATCCTCACATGTCCGTTAGTGTGAAGAAGTGCACCAGTACCTCTCACACTTTCATATCAATGTGTCCTCATGGCAGAAGCCAGCTTTTCTGTTAAATCTGGGAATTTTTCAGAAAGAGGACAACCCAAGCCTGATTTCAGAGAGAAGTCTGGTATATGCTTTGAAACTTATGTGACTGTCATCCCTGAGGACATTAATGTTTGATCTGAAGAGAATCAAGGGAAAATGATACTT